TTTTTCAAAAAGAAATCTTTTTTTTTTTTCATTTATTGAAAGATTCTATGTATGGCGGTTTTCTTCGCATGTTTTTGTTCTAATTCATCAAGTGATAAAGAAGCAAATGAATTTATCGATGAAAATCAAATTGATCTCGAAGATGATGAAGATCATCTTCATTCACCAAAGGTTCTTTTTTTCCTTTTTCTCCAAGACAAACTTTAATAAATTGTTTTGTATTCATTTCAGGATTATTCATTAGTTGATTGTCAATCGTTGAAACGTGTAAATCGTTTGACTGAAAGTGAACTTATTTATGCTCGTGATAATCGATTAAAAGAACTTGAAATGTGGTCAATTCTTCGACAATTCTCTCGTCATATTGTTTTCGCAATTTTGATCTTTTTAGTTACTTATTCTAATCATCAACAAAATAGTTTCTTTCAAGTTAATCATTTACGAAAATATCTTCTTCATCCTGGAGAAGTTGATCACGATTTTACACAAGTTTGTCATGTTTCGAATATTTTCATCATTTCTTTCTACTTTTTCAAAATAGATTTCAACGATTAATCATTTTTGGGATTGGTTAACGAATACTTTTGTCATTGATAGTCGTGTTCAATCATGGTACAATGGTGATAAACCACTTTATTTGAATGGTTTTCTCAATGATAAAACGAATCGATTAATTGGTCTAATCACAATCAGACAATTACGTGTTCAATCCACATTATGCGATAATCAACGAATTGTTTCCTTATGTGAAAATGATTATAACTATTTCAATGAAGAAAAACGAAGTTTTTCACCTGGATGGACTAATGAAACAAATGGAGAAATATTTCTTTCATCAATAATTAATGCATTTCATTATTCAACAAGTGATCAATTAGATGGTTCGATATTTTCAGGTGAATATGCAACATATGGAGGTGGAGGATATGTTTATCAATTTCGTGGAAGTTTAGCAGAGATACAAACAAATTTATCTTTACTTCATCAATTACAATGGATTAATCAACATACACGAGCTGTTTTTATTCAATTTACTTTATATAATCCAAATGTTCAATTATTAATTTCAGTTATTTTACTTGTTGAATTCTTATCAACAAGTGGAGCTTTTCCAAGTGTTGATTTTCAACCAATTAATTTCTATGGTAAGTTATTTAACATACATTACACATTAATATATCGTTTTATTTTGCATCTGAAATGAAAGAATTGTTGTTTCTTTTAGCATTACGATCAAATTTACAATTAGTTTGTGTGATACTTTACACATTATTTCTGATTTATTTAATGATAATCGAAATTCAATTAATAGTGCGATTGAAATCGAAATATTTGAAGAAATTTTGGTCATGGATTCAATTGAGTATTATCGGTTGTTCATGGACAAGTGTTGTAATTTATGTTTGTCGTTCTCGAGAAGTCAGTCGTTTAAGTAAATTCTTTTCCGAGACAAATGGTTTCGTTTATATAAATTTACAATTTGCAGCTCATTTAAATGAGATTTTAACAATTCTCTTTGGTTATTGTTGTTTTTGTTCGATAATTAAATTTCTTGATTTACTTCGTGTGAATCAATACGTTGGTTTGTTTGTGGAAACGATTAAATCTTGTCGAAAAGATCTTTTGTCATTTTTATCGATGTTTTCAATCATTTACATGGCATTTCTTTCATTATTTTATTTATTATTTATTTCAAAGATTTCTTCATGTTCAAGTTTAATTTCAACTGCAGAAATGTTATTTGAAATGACAACACTTTTATATGATTTAACTGAAATTACACAAGATGGCAGTTCTCTCATTCAATTTTGCTTTACTTTATTTATATTCATTGTCGTTTTCGTTTGTTTAAGTATGTTTCTTTCGATAATTATTCAAAGTTTTCAAAATTGTCAACAAAATCAACATTCGACTGATGAAACTATTTTCTCGTTTATGATCAAGAGATTCTTTCGTTATATCGGTAATTAATTTCATTTCAATGAAAAAACGATTTCACCTATTGAATGTTTGTAGGTTTGAATAAGCCAAGTCAATCAGAAATTCAACAAGATAAAGATCGACGAATGCGTTCATTGTACATTAGTCATATTGATACACTTCGATATAAAGTAGATCAACTAGTCTCTGCAATTAACAAAGTATGTTCAGATTTGACCGTGAATTATTTCAAATTAAGAATTCTTTCTTAGGTTTATATGGATCAAAAGTGTGAATTATCAAAATTGGATAAAGCAGGAGTGTAAAGAAAATTTATGGAAATCACAATGACATTCGAACGCTTTTTAGAAACATTCATTTTGTCTCTACTCACAAATAAATTGATCTCTTGAATATCAATTTATCATTTACATGATTTGCCAAGATGAACAGATGAAAAACACTGAACGTCGGATTGTAGAAAAATCGCTGTACCGATAATCAAATGTAATGAAAATCAAGATTCGATATACATTTTTGTCGGTCTCAATATTTTAATGAAAATTTCATTTTGCATTAGAGAGAATTTCTATGTGATACACTCGGCAATGTTTGTTTTTGATCATCTTTGACACTTGTCCGACTGTTTTATACGCAGTCGTTCGTAACAACAATAAAGAAAACAATCGGGGATATTCTTTTATTTTATTAACGGATAATTTGAAGAAGATTACATAATTGAAAAGATATTTGGAATTAATTTGGTCGAATTATTTTCATTGCTGTTGAAATACCAAGGTGATTAGTCGTATTGGGCTCGGGAATTATTTGACCATTCTTCAAATAATTGAAAGTAGTTTTTAAAAGATAAACAAATCTCATTCGATAGATTTTCGAGACACAAATGTTGATATAAAATGTTGAACATGAATTTATATAAATGAAAAATCCCCAAGTGAGATAAGTAACAAAACCTTCAATTGCAATTCTCGATGAACTTTTCGGTGGTTGACCTTTGGAAACTGTTGTTAAATACATATAAAGTGTATTTGTTGGATGAAGAACATTCGAAATGAAATAAATCCAAACAGTGAATATTAACATCAATATAATTTGTCGATCATAATTTTTCATATGAATATGATTTGTAACGTTCATTGCTGGAACAATACGATGATTGATTTGTCGAATATTTGAAAATGCTAATAAAGAGAAAATGATCATCAAAATCAGAGGCGTCGATGAACATAGAAATGAATATATTGCATAAACTAAACTATACACTCCCGATGTTCCACATTTAACATAAGGAATTTGAACATTCATAAATATTAACATATGAATTGGAATAATTAACCAACAAATCGGTACGATTAAAAGCATTTTTAAAGCGAACTTTGTATTACTTAATCGCCGTAGATAAGGTTTAACTGAAGAAAAGAAATATTGATCAAGACAAGCTAAAGTAACATAAGTACGGGAAATCATTAATAATGAATGTAAACCATATAATTTCAATTTACATGCCCATGTTAAATATAAAGATGGATCAGTTATATACGATGATGAGATACTTGGAATGATTCCAAAGATAATTATGAATAGATTTGTAAATGATGTACCGAGAAAATATATCGAACAACTATTTGAACGAAATTTTTTTGCAAGAAATATGAATATATTGAAAATATTGCCAAATATTCCAAAAAATAAACAAATTGGTAACAAATATCGGGAAAAAATCATTTGAATTATATTGAGGACATCTTCTATTGAAGACATTTCGACAAGTTCTGCTTTGGATGACGCGTGGAAAATTATTTTGATCTTCTTGTCTGTTTCAGACTGGTAGAGATTTCATTTGTCTACGACAGAAGTAACTTCTGGTGAAGATTTATCAATTTGCGAACTTTGAGAAGAGAAAATTAGATCAACGTCATTTGTAACCTTTGCAAAAAAAAGTACAAAATGAGAACTTTGACTTATTTTTCGACTTGAACAACGGTCAAATCAACTCAAAAGGAAATGTGTTCAACTTTAACACCTCATTTTCCTTCCACTTCGATGTAATCAAGTATTTTTACATTTGAACAACTAGAAAAGATCATCATTCTTGTTTTCGAACAAACAAAAATCTTTTTTCAGTCGATAGACTTTCACTTATTCGACGTCACATCCGTTTTCAAAAAAAAAGAACAAAACACCAAGAAATATGAAGTGGTTCTTAGTAATCTTCTCCAGTAGTTTCTTCTTCATCTGGTGCTGTCGTCGTTGTCGTGGTCGTTGTAGTTATGGTTGCTTTTGTAAAAGCAGGACATGGCTGATTTGGATCATTTTCATCGACAAAACGAACATTACAAAAGTCTGAAGCTCGTTTACATCCTTTTACAGACATTGTACCAGCCATAGCTCCATATCTCCAATGACGATTTCATAAGAAAATTTCGAAATCCGATAAGAAAATACTCACCCACAACAATTTAATCCTGTGTCAGTACACGTACATGTCACACATTCAGGTGAAGCCAGTTTAAATGTACTATTACTTGCAAAAGATAAACCTTTGTAAATACACGAAACTTCAGTTGTACCAAGTGCTGAAAAAGATATGTTTTCATCATTATCTCGTGAAGAAATGTCAATTCTTTACATACAATTCGTATTCACTGTTGGACGAACTCGAAAACATGCTTCATCACTGAAACCAATAATTGAGACGAGAATAATGCTGGTCAATGTAATTGAATTCATTTCAATCGTCAAAAGTCGTTTATTGTCAATATTATTGCAAAAATATGAATTTATAGGAAGAGAGATATTTAATGATATTTGCAGCTGGTCTTGTCTTTTGATGGCAAAATCGATGTAACAGTTGGTTTATTATCATCATCAATTGGAAGTCCATCTGACCCGAGTAGGCAACGACGAAATACAAATTACTATGACGATTTCTTTTTTTCATATACGTCGACAAAGCAGCGCACAGCTGTTGAGAAGAGACCGAAAAAATTGATGCGAATTGTTTTCTTTTTGATTAGTTTTATGGTAAATTTTCACCTTGAAACGACGTCAGTTCATTTTTTTCACCTCGAATCAACATCGTCTGTCCGTTGTTATATATAAATAGTCAATTTCTCGTTGTACAATCAATCAAACCAACATTTACACATCAAATGTTCGACTCGATGATCAACAATTCGCAAAGATATCAACAATATCAAGGAGATCACCTTGGAAATCTTGGAGTCAATTCAAGTTATGAACCAACAATAACTGTAGTCGTTCCGTGGACACCAGAATTTGGTCAAGCTTATCAACAGTTTGTTAATAGTGGAATGGGAACGATGAATAATTATGGAGGATATGGAATAGGAATTTAAAACATCAATGTAACAACAAACTTGAGAGTCTTGCGATAAGGAGAAAAGGATATTTATACTTTATTTTCATTCCCATCGAAAATCTTTTTTATCAATAAAAACTTGCGGAAACTTCGTATTTTATTCAAGAGCTATTTTGTGTATTATAGAGAAATGATATCTCTTTGGGAAAAGAAAATATGAATTTTCTATACACTTTTTTTGAGAGTGTAAAACCGCAACCGTAGTGTGTCAATTAAATTAGTCGTACGCGATTTACGTGGAAAAAAATGAAACACAATATTAAAAAATAGTTGTGTTTTCATTGATTGGTATTATTCGTTGGTTATTCTTTGACTAATTAAGAAAACCCAAGGTCGTTTGAAGAATTTCTTTGATGACAAAGGTAGTTGACAATTTTCAAAATGTAATGTAAACTCAATAGGAGATAAGGAAACTGGTCCGTGTGTGAGTGCAGTAATGATGATACATATCCAACTGATTGATTGTTTAGCAATAGACCACGATAAAGTCTTTTCATTTTCGTCAAACATTGAAACATTACATGAGAATTTTCCTTTGTAAATCTGCAACTTCATCACTCCAATCGCTTTTCATTGACGAAACTGTGTGCATAATATTACCTTTCTTCCTGTGTTTCTGATGTCTATCAAATAACATACGATATTTTAGCATCCGATTCGAGTTTTCTTTTCAGGATTTATCCATTCTGCTCTATCGATTCTAATGAAAAAAGTTTTCAATATGACCTTCATCTTTCTGAAATATAGTAATTCAAATTTGATCTCATAAGTAACGAAACAACCGCACTAAGAAAAGTATAACAGTCACGGTAAACTAATCTCATTCTGAGGAAAACACAATCGATACCACGTTCATCTCAAAATAAACATCCGCAACGAGAGACTTTCTTCCAACAATGATACTTTCTCTTATAATACAAAATTCTGAAACATCCAATCAAATCCGTACGTTGAAAAGATCAATAAAAAGAAAATTTTCCTCCTTCACATTTATAATTGCGCATGTTCATTGGGATTTTATGGAATCAATTGCCATTTAGACTATTGAATTTTTAAAAAGAAGACTTGTTTAAACAATGGTAAATTTGGAAAAGTGGATTTTGTGAAAATCATGATATTTGTCGATCATTATCATTGAATGATTCATGTGAATGTCTTAGAAATAGTTATTTTGGTCGTCTATGTGAAGAAACATTGAAATTACTTATCGAATTATTTCCAAATCTTCAGCAATTGTCGCAATTCTTACAATATTTATCAATGAGAAGAAGAACAGATCTCAGAAAGAAAATCTTGTTCCACAATGGGTCGAAATTTAATGTGGACGCTCTCACTATCAGCAAGACCTTGTATTTAATTGATTGTTCGTAACGGAGAATATGAATTATCATCTGACTTACTCTTTAGGTTTGTGTTACTTTCAATGATCAATTTCGTTAATATCATCTGATGGATTTGATAAACCAGAGTACGTCATATTTGAATGAAACAAAAACCGACATAACACTTTCATGTTTATCTACGTGTTGAGTATGTCTTATACTCATTAACTTGTTTTCAAAAGTGTATGTTTGTCTCTATCCACGTGTTTAGTCACAATAGAGAAATAAGTCATCGTCAAATTCTATACTAAAGAGTACAGTGTATCCCAGACCAATAGGTATGATTGAAAACAAACAAATTCCTTCATCTTGTCTTAACTCTCATGAATAAATACGATTTACACTGTTGAAAAAAATGATTTTATTAGACAAATTTCTTCATATACAATGAGGATGTAAATGAAGGATTATTTCAATTTTTTTTAGGAATAAATTCATTGCTGTAGAGATTTTTCATCGGACGCTAGTGTAGTTGAAGGTCGTGAAATTAGATCATCCGAATTGAAAAAGTTATTTATTGGTAATGTCGATGAACAATCAACTAGTATTTATAAAGGAAATCATGTTGGTATCAATATGAGAGCAGAATGCATCCAACGTAATGGAAAAGATGTTACAACTCTCTACTATTCTCCACATTTTGACAAACCAGAAAAAAATCACTTGTGATTGTGATAGTCGTAAACTTCATATATTAACACATTCAAATCATTGAAAATTAACGTGGGTTGTGGCGTCAAAGGACACAATACCAGAAAATGCAGTTATAAACGTGAATACGTCAATATGAAATATTCATGATGATCTCATTGTTGGATGAACGGGTGATACGAAAACGATTGGCAAAATTCTACAGAAAATATCAACAAATTTGAAGTACTTTGTATTGATCAATAATTATCATCAAGGTTTTTAAAGTGCTCACATTGATGATATTTCGTATTGGAAATCATCGTGAAGACGATAAAGTCGATAGAAGCGTAGATACAAGAAGATGAATTCTCCTAAAAAATCGATGTTATCATTGTTAAAATAGATAAAAACCCATCAAAGAGAAAATCATAGGTCATGTTGTATAGTGTTTAAGATCGGCGTGTTTCGAATGCCAAAATGCATTACTAAATGATTGACGAAAAATGTTCAACTGTAAATTATCACCGATGAACTCATTATATTTCAAAATGAGATAATTTAATGTGTTCAAGTCGACTGAGTTCAGTTATAGGCAAAAAGTAGCAGTGAGATATCAATGTTGTGGAACAAGATATCTCTTCGGGAGAATTAAATAGCTGAGTAACACTACAATCAAGTGAATGAAGTTGTGGGAACATTGAAATAAGACGTGTGGAAAATGAGCTATTTGTAGAGGAGATGAAAGAGACGACTCTTTGAAGAAAATCATACTGAGATAAATTAGACAATTGGAAGAAGAGTTAAAGATTTGAATTGGAGATCGTTTTTTTTTGAATAATCAGACGAATTGCACAAACGAAAAGGATTGAAATCATATTCAATCGTTTTAAGATAAGGACGTTGACTATAATACAAGATGTGATGTATATTCATTAAAAATAGAGAATTCAACCGAATAAACTTCGAGATTGATAAGTCGTGGGAACACATTCAATGAATGAATATCAAAAAAAGTTGGCATCGAAATAATAATTAATCATCATAAAACGAATCTTCGTTTCGTCAACATGAGAAGGTAAGTTGGGATGATTGAACTCAAATCAAATAATACATATTTCTATTAGATTTCAACAGATTATGAGGATTTGTTAGTTTTACATCAATTCAAACAAAACTCGTTATTCGTTGGTCATTTTGCTATGCTTTAAGAATAAGAGAATTGTCTTAAGATTTGATTATACTGTTCATATGTTTGTTTAAACCAAATAAAGGCAACTGAATATTTCATGAAATAACTCTACAGGAAGCATTTCCAACAATGATTTCGAATGATCTTAACAGAAAGATAAATTCGTTTTTTTTTCTTGAGAAAATTTATATTACGTCAGTCACGGGTGTCCATTTATGTACACAAGAACTTTCGAAAAAATAATTCCGTTGGATTTCTTATGTTTTCCAATACCCTTTTCATAGAACATGTAATTCTGGAATAAGACTCAAAGTTTCTCATCTATCCACTTATGTGATTAGAGTGAGGGTGTGGGTGCGAATACGAGAAAATCCATATCCATCTTCAAGATTAAAATAGTTCAACAATACTAAATAACTTCTGGATTGGCAGAAATTTGTCATATAGCCGATGAGTTCGCGTCGTTAGAAAGTTGTGTATTAAAACCATATTCAGAATATCTTCGAAATGGACATATCAACATACATCAGCCGTGTACACAAAAGACAACAGGAAATAAGTAATAAAAAACAGTTCGATCACTATCCGATATTTTTACATGAAATACCAAACACACGTAATACGAGTTTATCTTCTTTTTAAGTAAAAGCGATACATTACTTGCAACTTATTCCATGCAATCTACAAGAACCATTGTGACGCCTTCAAAAGGTTAAGAGAAATAACATTGAAACGAAGACTTTTTTTGTCATCTTTTGATAACGGAAGTAAAAACCTCCCTTAAGATGAAAAACACGCAGAACGGAAAAAATATTTCTCGCTCTATCGTATTCAAACATTAAAGACGAAGAAAGATTAGTCTTTGGAGATATCATCTTGCTCTTTTTCGAATAAAAAGAATTAGTTTTTATTTGAATTAACGACGAAAAAAGAATCTCATAAACCGGGTGGCAAAATCATCGATATTATTGTTACTCGCGCCAGAATATTCACCCATTGGTAATCGACTATTATAAAAACCACTGGGCGCATGACTTGCATATGCTGTTCCATATGTTGGTTGCATTTGTAGAACATTCCCACGAGCAGCATAAAGTGGATGTTCATTATTGCTATGGACATAATTCTGTAATTGCGAAGCAACTTGATGATATTGCGAAGCTATGTTTACATTCATTCCAGTCGGAACACTCATTGTAAATAATGTTATTTGTGAAAAAGAAATGATCAAATGAATGAATGTGCTCGGTCAAACGTTTCAATTTATATACCAATGCAAAAAGGAAGAAAGCGAAAAATATTTTCGTTAAGGAGATGTCATTAAAAATATAAAAAAGAGGAAGTAGACGTTAAATTATTATTCATCAATGTCAAAATCGATTTTCAATTGTCATTGATTATCTCTTTCAAAAATTAATTAATATTCCATAGAAACAACATTCATACTCGAATGAAAACGATCAATACTATTATTATACTTTACAATAAGCTATACAGTTTTACTTAAAGAACGCGTTCATCTCGAGTATCGAAAACTATTAACTGTTAGTGTAAAGATATTGGTTTTGAGAACAAATAGTTGAACGATAAAATAAAGCTCTAAGCACATTGGAAGATTCTAAGAAAGAAATGGTGGGATCAGTTTCGAGAATTTGCAGTAGAACACATGGATCTTTTTATATGCTTGAAGCTTTATCAAAACCATTCCATCGTTTCTTTTATGTATTCACTCAAACGATCATGAATGTGACAAATAAAATCTCAAGAAAATATAAAACATAATCGTGAAACATGTTAGAGTCTTTAACGGCAACGCTTGTGTTGTCGGTAACGGTTTTAACGTGATACCTTGCGAATCTTTTGACCAATATACATTATTATTTAGTAGTTCACTTTTATCAAGTTTCATAAATTCGACACATGATGAAACATAATGTTGACAGTTCTGTTTGAACATGGAAAACCTTTGTCCGTTCAGATTACTTTGTTCGGCGAATAGTTTGATTTCTTCGATAGTTCTTTTCCGACAAATACCGAGTGGTTGATAGTAAATCGTTTTCTGTGGATAAAATTTGTAAGGACCAAAGATGATTTTGATCGTTCCAAATCCAAAATTAGACGAGTCTAAATCTGTATAATAAAATTCATTATCACGTCGTGATTTGAGTAATAAGATATGATGGGTGATATGTCGATCGGGAAAATAAGAATTTTGATGTAGAGCTTTGAATAAAAGATAAACTTCAATCTCATTTTCTTCATCGTGTAAATCAGTCATGGTAACATTCGATGGCTCGTCGAACTGCTTTCTTCAAATTCGCACACGGTGAAGTCATGTTATATAATCACACGTTGTAAAAGAACAAGAACAGCGAAGGAGTTATAGAGTACAAATGATAGCATTTATTTTTTTTCTCGCCTTGTGCATTTATATAACGAGCGTCTCTGAATAGATAAATCTTTTTTTTTCGTCGTTCTTTTCTTGTTAGAACGAGGAATAGGTCCACACGTTTTTTTCTTTTTATCCGTTCTTCATTCGTCTCGAAGAACAGTTCTGCTTTGTATGCGAACAAACACACAGTACTATCGATATTCCGATGAGTCTCGTACTCGCTCTCGTATGTTTACCATGTGCTGTCATTCCAGCAGTGATGTACATCAAGAATCTTGATTACTATCTTGAACCTCGGAAAAAAACTGATATTTCTCCTCAAGCAGTTTCCATACTCATTCCTGCGAGAAACGAAGCTGCTGGAATAGCCGATGCAGTACGAGCCGCTCTTGCCACATGCGACATCGAATTCGAAGTAGTTGTCATGAACGATGGATCGACCGATGGGACCGATCGTATTGTACTCGATCTCGCCGCAAATGATAAACGTGTTCGACTAGAAAACGCTCCATCGCTTCCTCCTGGTTGGAACGGAAAACAGCACGCATGCTGGTGCCTTGCTCAGACTGCTCGGAATCCAATTCTTTGCTTCGTCGATGCCGATGTTCGCTTACGGTCCGACTGTATTAGTCGGATGGCTGATTTTCTCGATGGTCAATCACTTGTCAGCGGTTTTCCACAACAAATCACCGAAACTTTTCTGGAATGGATGTTACTTCCGTTAATACATTTCCTCTGTCTTGGTTTTCTTCCCATTTCTCGAATGAGAACGACAACAGAACCTGAGACAAGTGCTGCCTGTGGCCAATTCATAATGACGCGTGCAGATGATTATTTTACTTGTGGTGGACATAGCNATATAATTTCAATTTACATGCCCATGTTAAATATAAAGATGGATCAGTTATATATGATGATGAGATACTTGGAATGATTCCAAAGAGAATTATGAATAGATTTGTAAATGATGTACCGAGAAAATATATCGAACAACTATTTGAACGAAATTTTTTTGCAAGAAATATGAATATATTGAAAATATTACCAAATATTCCGAAAAATAAACAGATTGGTAACAAATATCGAGAAAAAATCATTTGAATTATATTTAGAACATCTTCTATTGAAGACATTTCGACAAGTTCTGCTTTGAATAATGCGTGGAAAAGGATTTTAATCTTCTTGTCTCTGTTTCAGACTGACAGAGATTTCATTTATCTACGACAGAAGTAACTTCTGGTGAAGATTTATCAATTTGCAAACTTTGAGAAGAGAAAATTAGATCAAAGTTATTTGTAACCTTTGCAAAAAAAAAGTACAAAATGAGAACTTTGACTTATTTTTCGACTTGAACAACAGTCAAATCAACTCAAAAGGAAATGTATTCAATTTTAACACCTCATTTTCCTTCCACTTCGATGTAATCAAGTATTTTTACAATTCAACAACCAGAAAAGATCATCATTCTTGCTTTCTAAATATGATTTTGTTTTTTGAAAAAACAAAAATCTTTTTTCAATCGATAGACTTTCATTTATTAGACGTCAAATCCGTTTTCCAAAAAAACAGAGCACCAAAAAAAAAATATGAAGTTGTTCTTATGAATCTTCTTCTGTAGTTTCATCTACATCTGATGCTGTCGTCGTTGTTGTCGTTGTAGTTCTGGTTGCCTTTGTAAAAGCTGGACATGGCTTATTTGAATCATTTTCATCGACAAAACGAACATTACAAAAGTCTGAAATTCGTTTACATCCTTTTACAGACATTGTACCAGCCATAGCTCCATATCTCCAATGACGATTTCATAAGAAAATTTTCAAATTAGATAAGAAAATACTCACCCACAACAATTTAATCCTGTGTCAGTGCATGTACATGTCACACATTCAGGTGAAGTCAGTTTAAATGTACTATTACTTGCAAAAGATAAACCTTTGTAAATACATGAATGTTCAATTGTACCATATGCTGGAAAAGATATACTTTCATCATTATTTCATGAAGAAATGTCGATTCTTTACATACAATTCGTATTCACTGTGGGATGAACTCGAAAACATGCTTCATCACTGAAATGAATCATTAAGACGAGAATAATGTTAACCAATGTAATTAAA